GACATCTCTCGGACAGATTTTTCGTGTCTTCTTTACTGAAGACAAATCTGCTTATGATGGGAGGATTTGTCTGAAAGTTAATGTGCCAAATAATGTTTAGTTTTGTCTTTATCTCTCTCTCTCTACCATTCTTTATATTCAGCATTTCACTTGTCCTATTTTTTATGTGGTCTTTGTCTCTCTGTCTACCTCTCACATCTCAGAAATATAGACAGATACTGAGGAAGTCCGGAGCGTACAACGGCCGAATCGTTGTAATAAATATGGCGATAAAGATGAGGACAATAGTCCGAATAATGTAAATAGTGTACATAATACCTCATCTCAGAAATATAGACAGATACTGAAGAACCGAAACGTTGTAATAAATTGACAAAGATGAGGACAATAGTCCGAATAATAAATATGGAAATACAGACAGACAGAAGGGCCGAAACGTTGATGGCGACAAAGATGAGGACAATAGTCCGAATAATGTAAATAGTGTACATAATACCTCATCTCAGAAATACAGACAGATACAGAAGGGCCGAAACGTTGTAATAAATATGGCAACAAAGATGAGGACAATAGTCCAAATAATGTAAATAGTGTACATAATACCTCACTTCAGAAATATAGACAGATACCGTTCGAATATTTTAAAATAACTGTCCCCTCCTATTCCAAAACCGTTACAATGACACAATAAACTGAAACTACCAGACACTAATGCTCATAATTCACAATTACTAACATATATGTATAATCAAACTACTATCCAACCTATATACCCTGGTCATATCGTTCAAACATGAAACAGACTGTCACCAATTGGTGTTTAATTTTGTGTTCCTATACTTATATTTATATGTGCTCTATTCCGTTTATTGAGCTCTAGTAACCTATAAATATAGCATACATTAAAACTATATTTTTAGAAAGTACTTTTATCCGGCATTATTTCTTATAACTATAAACATTATTTGAGTTTTCTGCTTATTTAGTTTATTACACAATTAAGTGAATACTAGCAGACCTTAATTGAGAATTCTAGCTAAAAGAAACCCTGCCTCCGCACGGGGTGGGGTAACGCATGGCAGCTCGGATTGAGGAATTGGGGAGTAGAGTTTGAATTCCATTCGAGATCATTGTATTCATTTACGTGCTAATATCCTTCGGAAAAGTTAGAATCCATCTTTTCTCCACCTCAGCTATGGGTAAATAGTAAACGAGTCTGGGCTTGGCAACCAGTCTAGGAGAAGAAAAACTCGGAATTCAAACATATTGCTGCCTTGAGAGGAAGAACGGTGCAAAAGTGACCGACAAACCATTGCACTATTCTGACTTGAATATCACCATAAACCACAATTGTGAAATAGAGGAGGGCGGTGACCACAGCAATGCTAACAATAGATGATGATGATGATGATGGGGAAACTGACAGCTGTTTTCCTTATTTATTTACGTTATTATTGATGGCACTTCGTATAAATGCCATCTTTGTTATGCTTAATTAACTTCCATTTCAAATAAATTACCTCTATTTTCCTGACAATATAATTGATAGTTTTTTTCTTTAAATAAGCTTTCCGAAATTTAAAACATCTTCATTAGAAGAATGATTCCTTATTCACAACAAAAATGTTTCAAAATACTGATAAAAATATTCAAAAGAAAACTATTATCACCTTCAATGGTATTATAAAAATATATTATTAAAATTATATTATGTTTCTTGAATCGTTTCAAAATACAATTCGAGTCGGAGTTACCGAAAATTACGTTAACATATTCCACAATGACATTGAAATAACAATTATTATATTTTTTTTTTTTTTAGAAATTAATTATAGTAAATAACAAATAAAGAATTGAATGACTAATAAATGGCATTATAGATACTGGGTAATGTTAAAATTTCAATAACCTTAAGATACCGGATAAATTCCGTATTTATTGAAAATTGTTTAATTATCACAAATGACTTCCTTTTCTTTGCTTTCATGTTTTCTTACCTAATGTTTAAGTTGAAAGGCAGCGGAAAATTTTATAGAAGGTTACGGGCATATCTGAAATCTTTCAAGACTTTTTATACTAAAGTTCACCAAATAAATGACTCGAGAACAGGTTTTACTTCCAATTTGATTATGATGAATGAAGTGTGATATGATTAAAAGAGGTGGTGGTAGGAATATGGATACGTAGCCGAGTGGTTAGAACGTTCGAATTCTGATCATGAGACGCTGGTTAGAATCTCAACATGGTCGATTTGTCACGAAAGAGATGTTATCGGACTGGAGGGCACCCTTGGAAAGTGTGTGAAAACCATACCATGAGTATGTGAGTGAAATTGTGTAAACGGAACCCTTGAGGACCGTCTATATCTGCGCAAGCACGACATTACAAGGCATCATGGATCGTGAAATGTTAATCACGCTAGATAACGTGATCTTTCCCAGAAACTGTAAATAAGGTCTGCTCAGTATAGTTGCAATATAAACACAATGCGTGGGTGTTGAATAAACACAAATGCGCCCGAGCAAGCGTCTGCAATGGGGATTGGCTAGCCACCCTAGTAGACGGTTATCCTCGAGTAGCGAACTGTATATGGCGGAAGTGAATATGATGAGACAAAGGAGGATGGATAGCCATTGACAATTACTTTGAAAAGATTAAGATTATAGCGTTCAAGGAAGCATCCACGCCGGTGTCTGTTCAGTAAAGTAGCAGTTCTTCGGGGAAATGAGTGGAACAATGAAGAATAACGGTAACTCGACGAAATAGCAGAGCGTGTCCTAACAGTCCTAAAGACAATCAGTTCATTACTGCTTCGGCCTGCATTGTTTATCGAAAAGATATAACTAAATGTATTTTAAAGAATAGAAAACTTGGTCAATTTTACACAGTATATTTAAAAAGTTCAAGCGAAAAAAAAAGCTGTTCGCGATCCAAATTTACATTAGCCAGAAAAAAAGGCTAAGACAGAAACGTCTATCTTTTTAAATTTGGATTTTTAATGTAACTATAACAACAAAATCATTTCAATTTCATTTTACCTTGAAAACGTCGGAAGACGAAACGCGTCGGCAAAATCAAAGATTTTTTCCAATTGTCATTTTATACCAATCTGTCTTGTCCACAGAATTGATCTTGGATTTTACTATATATACATACATACATATATATATATATATATATATATATATATATATATATATATATATATATATATATATATATATTGATACATGTTTCATTAAATAATATAGACAAGTGGTGTCTATTTATTTTATGTAAATTCTTTTCATATCGTCTGATAAGCTTAATAACATTATCGTTAAACGAAGAAAGAAAATCACAATATTGATACATATTTTTTTAATCCTATGTGAGCTTTCGGCTTACCTAAGCCATTATCAAAGATGACAATTACATTACAATATATTAAGCAATAAACGGACAAGAAAGTGATGGTAGTCTGTTTCTGTTTAAATGGATGATTTACAAGCAACGACAAACTCGTGCATACAAGACGCTAGAAGCGAAAATCGCTCGGCAGCTCATGACGTCAAACATGACCACGCGAGAGTGAAAACGAGAAGTATTAAATATGGGATGGTGTTTTTATAAACCATTGGAGTCTGTTACAAATTATAGGAATTTAAGAATATTTGTAAATATTTCATAGTTTATTTTGTTCAGGTTAGTATTCAGCAGTTTTATGTATATAGCTTCAAGAATTTTTAGTTTTTGTTTATTGTTTTCATGTTTAAGTATAATTGTCTTTTCGACAAGCACCTTTCGGAATTGTGTATGCGGCCAGACAGTTATCTATCTATGTATCGATTAGTAGTCATTGCCAACTGTTTCTTTCGTCTCTTGTCTCGCAATCTTAATATCTTCGTTACCATACATAATGTATTTTACTGATTGATGAGTCGTTAATAATGGACGTAAATCTGAAAAGAGTCAAAATATATTAACTGGAATTGATTGATTGATTTCTTGCAATGATTGTGTCCGTAATTCACCTTCAATTTGGATCGATTTTCTATCCTCAGTTTAGTGTAATGTATTGGAAATTTTCAAATCATAAAATGTTTAATATTAAAGAAAGATTTTTGCAATAAAAAATCATGCTTCGAAAATGTCTGTATACACACAACCATTAAACGACAAAAGTAATTTCACTCAAAATTGACAAATGGCAGGCAAAAGTTTATCTGAGAATTTGGTAGAAGCAAGAGACAGATTAATTTCTTAAAGTCTTCACACAGATGTTGATGTTTCAGATCGCTGTTTGTTGTTCTAATTATTTAATTTCCTGAAGTTTATTGATTAAATGATGAATCCTTGTCTGAAGATATTTTGAATCGGCCAAAGCATAAATCGGAAACAAAATCTTTTCAGAAAAGAAACTATTTTGCATTAAGTCATTTCCGCACGTGTAGAATGATTGATTTGATTTCGATTAAGTGTTACAAATTCAGTTTCAAGGAAAACTACTCGGAAACGGAAAAAAATAACTTCAGTTAATTACGGAAAAAAATGAGTTCTTTTATATCTATTCCCGGCATGAAATTTATTGAAAGAAAATAACTGTTTCCTCTAACGAACTTTTGCTTTCAGGAAGCAACTTCTTAATTTCATTTTTTTTTTTTTCAGTAATTTTAATCTTCCTCCGCAAGACAATTCTATAGCGGCCTTTTATGGTCGTTTAGGAATTTTGGTCATTGAAGAAATTCTCCAAGAGAGTCAAAAATACAATTCCGAACGTGTAGTATCTGGTGATTATGAAGCAAGGCTGAAAACTTCTCATCTGAATTTCTGGGAGGAGGAAATATAATCAGTATTTATATTATTTACAGTTGGAATATTTTTCTCATCTTGGCTGTTAATATTCTACTGTTTAGGCCCTGGCGAACCTTCATTAGATATATGTTGATCCGTCTTACCTACATGGAACTTCGAAATGATACTTCTTGTAATGAGAGAGATAGATAGATAGAGAGAGACAGAGAGAGAGAGAGAGATTAAAAGAGAATGGGATAGATAGATAGATAGATAGATAGATAGATAGATAGATAGATAGATAGATAGATAGATAGATAGATTTAATAAGTGGGATAAATAGATAGATAGACAGACAGACACTTGGAATTTTCCAGTCCTGGTAAACTAGAGCGAATTTTGAACTGGGCGCTTTATTTAATCCGTTGAAATTGTTCCTCTGTCCGTGTCTAGGGATATATCATGTTGTTCTTATTTAGTTTTGTTTACTTATTAAGCAACCTCGTGGTGTAAGGTGCTTGTTCCTGTATTTGTTGGCATCCAACTATGAATTCATCTGGGTGGGATAATGGCAGACTTAGAATCAGTGGAAACAGGCTGAGGAATACGTGAGACCAACTAAATAAGAACAAACGGATATATTCCGCGACAGGTCGAAAGGAATGAGAATAGTCTTCCAGTAGATTACATAACGGTTCATTCCGAAGTTCCTTGAAGGTTACTTAGACCGAAAAAGAAACCTAAAGAAAACCAGAGAGTACAATGATTGTGATCATAACAACAAAGATATGTTCACCCTTCTCTTTATAAATAATATAAATATTTTCCTATCTATATCGAGACTTTTTCACCTGCTCAATGAAGAAATAAGAAATACGTAGTTTGCTTCCGGTTACATTCGCAGATTAATACCTTCAAATTGATTAATTAAGAGTAATACTTGTTCGAATCGATCAATATGCGATGTAAACTTCAGGATGTTCTGGGTATGACGATGAGATACACCCGGCAGCAAGGTCTCTGATCAGGAGAATGGATGTTTAGAGGAGAGCGGAATTACCTCTTTTTGGCAGTTTTTCCCAGATACACCCTGACCTAGAGATGTAGCACCTGTTAGAATCCAAGCTATGAGCAAATATTGAAGCAAAAACAAATCACTATGAAAGTATGAAAATACATTTTATATAATAAAAATACCACTAATGCATATTTATAGCAAAATGGCTAGCAATACATTTCTTGTGATGTCAACGAAGACTCGTTGCAACTTTTGTAGTGCGAACGAATACTCGTTGTCACTTTCGTAATGTAGTAGAGACTTTGCAATCGCAGATACAACTATAATAACGTCCTTGAACAATATTGTTGTCAGACGCCTTCGAATAACACTTGCGCTTAAAATACATGCTCGATAATACTTGCTTGAATATTAACCAACGAATTGATCTGAACAGAGAATAGTGTAGAGAGGAGAATATAGAATGGCGGCCCGTATAGTAATATAGGATAGGATATAATATAGCGATCCGAATAGTAATAGAGGATAGACAAGAAATGCAGATCAATCTAGACGTTACGCGACTTCCTATATATGCATTTCCTCTATGATCACGTGATACATTTAATTTAATAATGGGATTGCCTTTGTTTTGTCGGCAGTGACACTTTATTTTTATATTACACGTTTTATAGTAAAATTATCAACAATACATTTTATCTGTAATTGAATGCAATTGCTTTCAAAATATATTTAGTTGAGACCATGAAATTATCTTTAAAATATTTAGATTTCGACATTAGAGGTTGATATGGCGCCAAACAAAATCAACCAACCAAACAACCTACATTAAATAACTCTTTCATGACATCAGTCCATATAATATCCTACAATTTCTTAAAGAAATCAAACTGTATTCTAAAATATAACTTCAACAAGACTACAACATAAAACACACATATCGCCGCCTCTAGTCATCATATCTACACAATATGCATATGTAAAAAAGCTGAGTATCATCTACCATGTACTTAACTGTGAAAGCAGAATAACATATAGCATATTACTTCAAATTTTCCAAGAAATTAAATTTCGGCATTAAATGATCGATGAGATGTTGATATGAAGTTAAACAATCAAATCAAATTAAATACACCGAATCGACTACTTCCAACTAAATGAAAAGACATCAGATTCTGGTGGAAGGAGGATCCGGTTCTCCACTGCCTTAACCTAACGCCTTTATCCACTGTGCCATGTTCCCTCTAGGCTTTGGTTAGATCCAGTGACAGGGCCCAATACCCGGCTAAGACAGTGGATAACTTCCAGAGGGAAATTAACAGGATATAACTGATAACTGACATCCTCTAAACATGGCACGTGGAATTAGAACAGTCTACCCCAGTGACCGAAATAAAGGGTTCAGTTCGACATTCCAACCACCTGAAGAAGGCCGGAGCGTACATATAAATATGGCGACAAAGATGAGGACAATAGTCCGAATAATGTAAATAATGTACATAACACCTCATCTCAGAAATATAGACAGATAGTTAAGGATTTTATATTAAAGAATCTCACTAACAGTGACTGAGCATTCTCAACTGAAATTCAAGTATGATAAAATAATATTATCAATTTGTCAGTAGAGTTTACAGTTGAGCCAGAGATATAAATGTATATATTCAGTTTTTGTATGATTTAATGAATTAGTTTTTCTATGTACCGTGACCTTTCGGCATCTCTATTATTCCCTGTCCTTTGTAGCTCTTAATAAATTTCATGTTTCTATCATCTCTTCTAATCCATGTATTTTTAACCATTTACAAAAGCTCGTTAAATAGATTATGCGCGTCAACTTTGCCTTACCAATAAAAACAAACCTATGGACTTTGTAGAACATACGGCTGTAGGTGAGTCAGAAATTTAACGCAAAAAAGTGCTAGGAAAATCGCTTTTTAATTTGTAATATGTGGCCTGATTCTCCAGTTTTTTCTTATATAAAGTGCCTCTTTTTCTTTTTTACTTTACACACACACACACACACACACACAGATATATATATATATATATATATATATATATATATATATATATATATATATATTATAAAGATGTTACATATGAACAAACAAGTACTCACGACATTTTCCTTTGATGCCGATATTTTCCTTTGTTGTCGACATTTTCATATTTTACCGACATTTTCCCTTGCTGTACACGTTTTCCTTTGATGCCGACATTTTCCTTGCTGCGGACATTTTCCTTGCTGCGGACATTTTTCTTGGTAGACAACATTTTCCGTTGCTGCCGATATTTTTCTTTCTTGTCGACATTCTTCCTTGTTGTTGGAATTTTCTCTTTTTGTAGACATTTTCAAATGTTATGTAACTCATTATATTATGTATCCCATTTCCAGTCAAATCATTTCAACCAAACATGTCGGCTTTCAGCACTAGTGTTCTTGAAGCTAATTGTTTCATCTTAATTATTGATTGACATATACATAAAGTTTGAAAGTAAACTATGTTTTTAGGTATATAGATACAGTTTTTTGCAGTCATATTTATTTAGGGCGTTTCCTTTTAGCAACTTATTTCTATGGCAATATTGTCAATTTTAGTTTAGCAAAATCTTGATTGCATCAACAGCATTTTGAAAGGAAAGAAACAGTTATTTCAAAGAAACACAATCGATAAATGTTTCTGAATTTCTCATTTCCCCCTTATAAACATTAATGTCATCGTTGGTATGGAAATCATTATTACGAAGAAATTCTTTTTCCATTCTAACCCGTTTCGTAATAAATATCAGTGCTAACTCATCGAGGGGAAAAAGTACGTAATTTTATGGTTGTTTCTGTCAACTGGATTATTCTCCTATATTTCTATACTTTTATTATTTATCTTTTGAGCCTGAAAGAAAGATCTCATAAAATACTGGCGGTTGTTCGACGTAGATAAATCTGACTTTCACAAGAAAGAAAACCTTTTTTTTATAACAAAAGGAGGATATTTCAAATTATAAAACCGCTTACGAATATTCTTGAACTATGAAGACTTACTCTTTGGGTCCATGATAATCACTAACGCGCAAATACCCTTGTGGAATATATGAAACCATTTCTGCTCGCCCCCCCCCAGCTATGGATTAATTTGAATGACTTGTATCATTAAACTATTATTATTTCAAAAATTTTCATACTATCTGAAAATATTTTCTGGCTTGAAATAACCTGCAACTCGCGGATAAGTCGTAGAAAATGAATGAATAAATCAATCAAAGAATATTAGAATATTATGTTTTGTTTTGGGCGAAAATATCTTGTTACTTTGACAGCGTCATGGAAACTCATCTCCCGTCATTTCAACGCTGTTATGCATGTTGTACATCATTTCGATAAACGCTTCAATCACCAAATCGTCTAAAGCTGTCAGTTTGTCTATAACGAACTCATCACATTCTACTGTGTTGCCTTTCATCTTATACATTGCTCGCTTCCTCTCTTATGGCATCAGCTCTCAACTTGGTAGCTACATTGATGACACAAAAATTTACTCTTATCTTGATAGTAAGTCGGATCCGTTTCGGTTGTAGCATACCTACGGACGATAATGGGTATGTCCCCATTCACATTCATCATCATCATCATCATCATCATCGTCATCATCATCATCCTGCGGCCTCAGCCGAAATTGAACTCACTACACCTCTCCAGTATTCCCTATCCGTCATAGCTCCTAAAAGATCTTCCTTAGGGATCAATGTCTCTCGTTTTATCCTATCTGGAAAGGTTAACTTGCGTGATCGATTATCAGATGATGGGTGCCTCCAGAGTACAAATGATGACACAAGTTCATCTGTGGCACGTGCACAATGCCCGGCGAACTGGACACGTCTTTTTCAAACTAAGGTTGATACTCTTGGCAAGTCTCCATATATCATTTCTAGAGTTGGGTGGTTTCGCCATGAGAGATTAAGCACTCTTCTTAAAAGACGTGTATAACATCCATCTAAACGGCGCTGTTGTTTTGCTGAGAGAGTCCAAGTTTCACATTAATACAATAGTAAATACTGTATGTTGCTCTTCAGTTGAAGATTCGTCTCCAGCTATATTGGTCTAACTCTCTGTCTGCGGGCAGAGAGAATCCCCAAACGAGGCTCTGTCAAAGGGCAGAATCTCGTCTCGGGAAACAGCCACCCGACCCCGTTTTATACGGGGTCAACAGGGAATTTTTGGCCAAGCCTATGCGATCGAATGCCCATATTAAATTCGACCTTGTGACACAGTGAACAGCGTGGGGCGGTTGGTAGATATTCTAGAGTTGGAGATTCATTGTGGTATTCACTTGACTCACTTTTAGCAGTTGACTACTACTTCTACGCACCACGGGCGAATCTTATATGTGTTGTTCGTGTCCTAAGTATTATCATTCATTACCAACCTTCGTGTGATTATTCTTTTAAGTAACTTTCCCTAGGTTACAACAGTTTGATAAGTCAAAATGACAGCTGGTATTCAAAACAATCTTCAGTCTGTTGTCGACAAAGTCAAAGGATGGCTTCTTAATTTTAAGGCTTCCAAAACTAAACTACACTCTGTTAATAATTTGAGAGAATTTTCTATGCCTTCCATCAGCATGGCTGATGCTGATCCCCAGGAGAGTGACCCGTCACACCTTCTCGGGCCAACGTTCACGGCTGACATGAAGTGGAAAGAATATATTGAATCCATTGCTAGGCCAGCTTCCAGTAATCTTGGTTCATTGTGTCGTGGTTGACAAGTTTTTTTTTTATCTCCAGCGTCTATCTTACTTATCTATAAAACTCCCATTCCACTATGCTTAAAATATTGCTGCTACATATGGCCAGGTGCTCCTGCTATCTATCGAGAGCTCTTTGGTAATATCCGAAGATATATCAGCAATATTATTGGTCCTGATCTGGCGGCACGGCTTCAGTCACTTTCCCAACGCAGTAAGGTTGCCTCCGGTTGCCTTTTCTTTAAATACTTTCATATGCAATTGTTTGGACCAGCTATTTGCTACAGTGCCTTGTCTCTTCGAATTTAAGCGAGACTGACGTTAAGTTTTACAGCTGAGCTGGCGAGATGCAACCGTAAGTTCTATGCTAAGCGTTTCTTTTCTCGGACTTATCGCTTGTAGAATTCTTTTCCTGCTCTATGCATTCGAAGCTAACTTTATTCTGCAGAAATTTAAACGCAATGCCAATTGCTATCTACTCTCCTCTTGATTAATCTTCCTCTGTTCTCGCTCCTTTGCAATGTTTTTATTTCTTTCACAACCAGGAACCCCTTGAATCTTAATAGATTTACTGCATTGCTTGGGGTAATATCGATTTTAAAAATACATGTCCTTATTATTGTTCCCTTTTTAGATCTTATACATCTTGCTGAATCGCAGCTTTATCCCCTTTCGCGCCATATCATTTTATGCACCCTTGCTAGATCTAATGTCTGCATTATTTCAGAAAACTAAATATTTCTCATTAAGTCTATTACTTGATTGCCTTTTTGTCTGATGTTTTACTCGAATCTATCCTGCATAGTGTTTTGGCTTAAAGTGTAGTATCTGTTTTATGCATTTGAGAATTTTCATCCATGCATTTGGTCTTATTTTTTCCAGTGTATAAAATTCAGAAAAATTAGATGAAAGAAATGCAAGTCAAAATAATGAACAATGCATTGGGTAATAAATTCAGAACATTTCAGATTATTACTTGTTGCAACCTAAAGAAGGTTAGTGAAAAGAATAATCACACAAAGGTTGGTAATGAATGCTAATAGTTAGGACACGAACAACACATATAAGATTCGTCAGCGGCGCGTAGAAGAAGTAGTCAACGGCTAAAGGTGAGCCAAGTGAATTTCACAATAAATCCCCAACTGCAGTATATCTACCAACCGCTCCACGCGGTCAGATGTGGCACAAGGACGAAGTTCATGTAGGGTATCCGAGCCTGTCGTCTCGGTCAAAATTTCCCCGTCGACTCCATAAAAAACTTTTTTAATTTTTTTTTTTTTTTAACTCGCAGAAGGTTGCCATTTCTCTCTTTGGTAGACTAGTTGTCATCCAAGGCTATAGAACCCAGTCTGTCCTGCTATTTTTTTAAATTTAAATTAGAAGGTAGAAATTTTTAAATTTAAATTCGAAGGGCAGTAATTTTTAAATTTAAATTCGAAAGGCAGAAATTTTTAAATTTAGCATCTCTACATCATTTGTCTTTGCACTCGGCTAAGGATTATTTTCATTTCACCACACTAAATACTTATAATTCAATTAAGAAGAATATTATTTTAATCTGAAATCCTTTAACAGGACGAAACGTGTTGCATGAAATTGTATCTATTTTATTATTAAGGCACCCAACTCAATACCCCATATCAGTGTATATGAAAGTGTATTATATAGAATTATACTTTTCATTTTGGTAAAGCATTATTCTTGCTTTAGCAATATATTTATAGAATTTATATCCTTTTTTTCATATTTACAGTAGTTTCAAATATCAGACACCAATTTATTCCTCACTTGTTAATGAAGGTAGTCTGAAACGAAAAATAAGAGTAAGGGAACACTTTTCAAAAATTAACATTTTTCACTGATGCAAAAATGAAATAATTCAGCTACTAGGTAAAAATCCAAATAAATATTTCTATCAGAATAACTGGCGTTATCATTAAAGTTGTTCTTATTTTAGAAACATCTGTATTCTAACAAGCTGTAAAGACGAAGACAAAAAAAAAATAACTAAGACTTACTGATCTCGAATCGACGTCATTCATGAATTTGGCAATTCAGGTAGATCCTGTGTTCTTTCATTTCCTGTCCGGCTTTAATCTAAAGGTATTTCCTTGTCACTTCTGAAAATCACCGTATGACTTGACATTTACTGTAAGACCGACATACAAAGGCTGATTGACGTCGCATCTCTTTAAGATGTCCAACCATCTCTGATATTAAGTGGATGGAGCAAAAACGAAAAGTCATTCTCTTAATTCCAAACGTCAGTCGCGTCGATGAAGTAAAAATATCGTCAGTCACTAAAAGAAATGTTCAAATAGAGTCCAAAGCATTGATTTATTACTGCTTTTCAGATGAGAAATGTATGCGATAACCACATATTAATGTTTTCTAAGATTCGTATGGCACAAGGCAACTCAGGTGAGGTATTACTTTTACGGACTATATTCCTTGCAACTTGAGTAGATTCTCAAACTAATATCATTCGATTTTCTTTTGTCTCTCTCTCTCCATATATATATATATATATATATA